ATAAAATCAATACATGTTTCTTTTAAGTTAGAAGAATAGCAAATATTTGGAAGCAGTGGTTGTTAGAGCCATTTAATTAGACATTAGTATGTGAAGTATAAATAAAATAATGAAAATTATTAGTACACAATTCTAAATTTGAGTAGAGTTTTGATAAAACCACACTTTTCTTCTGCTTTAAAATTTTAAGATATTTGTGTATATAATTTATGTATCATTGAAATACAAGAAATCCCTTGTGCATAATGAACTTTAACTTAATTATCTCATGTTCCACTAGTCCACACAGTTTGAAATGTACTGAGTTCTCCAGTGATGTTTTTTAATACCGTTAAGTTACAGTGTTTGCCCATTCTTTTTTACCAACGTTTATTGATTAAATGTGTTTATTCAAGTTCCTAAATTCAAAGTGAAAAAAAAAAAAAAAAACTTTGGGGGAGGGAGCAGAACATGCACTGTTTTAAGTAATTTGTAAATTTTTGGAGGTTTTTTGTTTTTGTTTTTTAAGCTTACTGTTTCTTGCCAGGATGTTCTGTTGATAGTAATTGTATGTATACATCAGTATTTTATTTATTTTATTTATTTTTGCTTAGAAATGTTTTATTTTTTCATTGGTTGATGACTAATTGATCATCTGAATGGTAGCTCTTGCATTGTATGCTAAAATAAGACATATTTTGCTGGCAGGGAGAAATTAGGCTAGTTTCATTGTTTCATCTGTGAAGCTCTCTTGCAAAAAAGAGCAAACCAGGCCAGTTTTAAAATTTAAGTTGCAGAAACATTATTGGTGCTTATTATACCAACGCGTTCATATTCAGAACTACTTCATGCAGTAAATATTAATCTCCTTTGCAAAAGTAGGGAAACTGAGGATCTGAGATTATCTGATATGATTAAATCACACATTTAGGATGAGGCACAGCCTCAACTAATCTGCTGTCACTATAGATTAGATTAGATTTTCTAGGTGTTTATATAAATGTAACCATACGGTGTATATTCTTTTTTTGCCTGGCTTCTTTCATTCAACAGTCATTTTGAGATTCATTTATTTTGTTACATCTCAGTAATTTTTTCCATTTTATTGTTGGGTAGTATCCCACTGTATAAATATGCCACATTATCTTCATTCATCTGTTGATGGAGATTTGAGTTGTTTCTGGATTTAGGCTATTCAAATAAAGCTTCTATGACCATTGCGTATAAGTACAAGTTTTTGTATGTACATATGTTTGTTTTTTTTCTCTTGGTAGAACCTGGAAGTGATATGGCCTGATCATATGTTTAATTATATGTTTGACTTTTAAAAAATTGTCAAATTGTTTGCAAAGTCTTTGTACTATTTTAGATACCTACCAGCAGAATTATGAGTATCAGTTCCTCCACATCCTCATCAACACTTGAAGTGGGCACTTCTTAAAATTGTAGCTATTTTAATAGATGTGTAGTTTATCTCACTGTGATTTTAACTTTCATTTCCCTAATGACTAATAATATTGAGCATCTTTTTGTGTGCCATCCAGATACTTTCTTTGGTGAATTGACTGTTTAATTGTGCCCATTTAAAAAATTGGATTGTTTGATTTCTTATTGTTGTGTTCTGAGAATCCTTTATATATCCTGGACATAAGTCTTTTGTCAGATGTATACTTTGCAAAGATTTTCTTCCATGCTGTCTTCTTTCATTTTCTTAATATTTTGAAGATTACAGGTTTTTCATTTGGCTTAAGTTCAGTTTATCAATTCTTTGTTTACAGATTATGGTATACTTAAGACATTTTGGTCTAACTCAAGACCACAAAAATGTTCTCTTCCATTTTTTTCTACAAGTTTTATAGTTTTAAGTTTTACATTTAGATCTATGATCTACTTTTGAATTAATTTTTGTATGGTGGGAGGTATGGATTCAAGGGGTTTTTTTGTTTTGTTTTGTTTTGTTTGTTTTTTGTTTATTTTTTATATATACATATCCATTTGTTCCAGCATCATTTATTGAATAATACTATCCTTCGTCATCTGTATTGCCTTTGAGCCTTTGTCAAATATCCGTTGTTGGTATATATGAGGGTTTATTTGTGGATTCCTTGTTTTGTTTCTTGATCTATTTATCTTTATGCTAATACAATGCTGACTTGATTTCTCTAGTTTTTTAATAATCCTTGAAACCAGTTGAAATCAGTTGAGATGTTGATTGGAATTGCACTGGATTTATAGATAAACTTGGGAAGAATTGGCATCTTTTAAAGGATTTTCTTTTATTTCTCTGAGCAAAATTATGTAGTTTTCAATATATATGTTTCTCATCCCTTAAGATTTTCATAATTTTGATACTATTGTAATTGATTTTTAAATTTTTCCTTTCAGATTTTCACTGCTAGTATATAGAAATATAACTTTTTAAAAAATGTTGAACTTATATCCCACAAACTTTTTAAATCACATATAGTGTTAGATGATATTTTGTAGATTCCATCAGATTTTTTGCATAGAAAGTCATGTCATCTCTAAATGAAGACAGTTTTTCTTCTTTACTGTGTAAATGCCTTTATTTCTAAAAAAAAAAAAAAAAAATGCTGGATTGCACTGACCAGAACCTCCAGTATAATATTAACTGTTGAGTGCAACATCCCTGTTGTGTTCCTGATTTTAGGGGAAAGCATTTAGTGTTTCACCATTAAGAATAGTATGAATTGTAGCATTTTTGTATATCCCCTTTATCAGATTGAAGAATTCCCTTCTATTTCTAGTTTGCTGAAAGTGTTTTGTTTTGATTTGATTTGACTTGTTTTTAATCAGGAATGGATATGGGATTTTGTCAGATTTTTCCCCTTCATTTATTGAAATGATCATGTGGTTTTTCTGTTATAGCTTATTTCTATGGTGAATCATACTGAGTTTTCAGTGTTAAACTATCCCTGCATTTTTGTGATAATCTCCACTTGGTAATATTATTATTATGTTGTAGAATTATGTAAGTATTGTTTATATTTTCTGTGTTCATGAAGAGTATTGTTCTGTAATTTTTTTGTCTTATTTTGATATCAGGGAAATTTTGCCACATAGAATGATTTGGGAAGTATTTTCTCCTTTGCAGTTATTCTGAATAGTCTAAAACCACATGTAGAATTGGTATTTCCTCCTTAAATGTTAGGTAGAATTTATCAATGATGCTAACTGGGCCAGGAGTTTTCTTTTTGGGAAGGATTTTAATCTCAGCCTGTTAATTTATTTAATAGATACAGGGCTATTAAAGTTGTACATTTATTCTTGAGTGAACTTTGGTTACCTGTGTCATTTAAGAAAGTTGTCCATTTCATCTGTGTTGTCAAGTGTAGTGGCATAAAGTTATTTATTAAAATTTCCCCATTCTTAAAATATCTGTAGCATCTGTAGTGATGCCATCAATCTCATTCTTGGCATAAGTAATGTCTGTCTTCTCTTTTTTTCCCTGATGGATCTAGATTAATCAGTTTTATTGAACTTCTCAAAGAATGTCCTTTTTTGTTTTCCATTTCTTTGATATCCACTTTGATTCTAACTATTTCCTTTATTCTGCTTAGTTCGGTCTTAATTTTCTCTTTTATTCTGGAAGATGTAGTTGTTCATTTAAAACCATTCTTTTTTCATATAGGTGGTTAGTGCTATATATTTCTCCCTAAGTATTACTTTTAGCAGCATCCACAAATTCTGATATGTCGAGCTTTCTTTTTCCTTCGGTTAACAATACTTACCAAATTCCTTTTGATTTCTTCTTTCATCCATGGGTTATTTAGGAAGTGTGTTATTTAATTTCAAATATTTGGATATTTCCTAAAGATATTTCTGTTAAAGATTTCTAATTTCATTCCGTTGTGATCAGAGGACATATTTTGTCTTTGTTACTTTTCCTTTTATTGAAACATGTTTTATGGTCTAGAATATACTGTATTTTTTAATGTTTTATGAACACTTGATAAGATTTTGTATTCTATTGTTAGATGAATACCTGACCTGTCAGTCAGGTCAAATTGGTTAATAGTGCTGTTCATGTCTACTATAACCTTGTTGATTTTCATGCCTACTTGTCCTGTCAGCTGTTGGGAAGGATGCTGAAGTCATTTGCTGTATTTCGAAGATCTGTTATTAGGTATATTAGCCTTTATGACTATAATTAATTATTCTCTTTTTCATTGTGAAATGACTGCCTTTATTCCTGGTAATTATTCTTGGGTTTGAAATTTATTTTTTGTGATATTACTATAGCCATTCCAGTTTCCTGCCATTAATCCTATCTGGTTTTTTGTTTGCCCTCAGACATTGTAGTTTTCATTTCTAAAGACTTTTCATATGGGAGACTTTAGGAAAAATTATTTAACCACTCTGTCTTCATTTTCTTCTTTATTAAAGGCACATAATAAAAGAACCTATAACATAAAATTGTTTTGAGAATTGAGTAAATGTACCAAAATGCTCACAAATACATATATATCACAGTATAAGTTCTGTATAAATGTGATCTACAGCTATTGTTCCTACTCTTATGGCTGCTGTTTAAAAAAAGTATTTTTAAATCCATAACATATTGAAACAGAATTTCCTATTGATTTATATACCCAAGAAGTTTCTTGTTTGGACTTTCATTAGTCATCTTTAATCTAACTAAACTAGAATATCATCACAACTCAAAAAAATACCTGTTTCATTTTGTTTTTGTTTTGTACTTAAGATTGTGTATAAAAATATAGGTATACTGTCATTATCATATTTTTCAAATTCAGTGAATATGTAATTCCCAAATGCATTAGAATTATACAGTAGTTGTGAGTTCTCAAAGGTACATACTTTGGTTTAAATATAGGACATATTGAAATTAGTCATTTTTTTAATCAAAGGAAGTAAATGTTTACATTTAATATTTTGTATGAGTCCTTCACATTACTGTCATTTATTATGAGTCATTTATTTCTTTCCTTTTCTCTCCCTCTCTCTCTCTCTCTCTCTCTCTCTCTCTCTCTCTCTAGATTGGGCAGCTGGCTTTCAAAGGAATGAGGAGACTCAATAGAATCCAGTCAATTGTGTTTGAGACTGCCTACAACACCAATGAGAACATGCTGATTTGTGCCCCTACTGGGGCTGGAAAGACCAATATTGCAATGCTTACAGTTCTGCATGAAATTCGCCAACATTTTCAACAAGGTGTTATCAAAAAGAATGAATTTAAGGTAGGAAATTAACAGGTTAGACCATAACTTTTTAAATTGTAAAATTAAAATCATTTGTAGTTGTTCATGTTACATGAAATCTAGAATAAAAGGATATATTCATGATGTCATGTAAAGATTGCTGCTTGAATTTCTCTATTACTGTGAAAGCATTCCCAGTTTGTGTTAGGAAAATCCTATTACCCCTGTGAAAAGCTGTGAAAATACATTTAGCTTTGAAGCAGAACCAATTTTCAGAGGGATGAGACTATATACAAAAATTTCATTGTCCTTTAAATAGCTGCACACTTATCCAAGAAGGAGAAGTACTTTTCAGATATCACTATTAAGATTTTTTACTCCTAGTGGCTACAATTATATTTCACAATAAATTGTGACTTACATGGACTGCTGTGAAACAAATGACCTTCTAGGTTTTGCTCATTTATCAAGGTAGTGTTTTCCTTGGCACAGATTGTATATGTTGCTCCAATGAAAGCCTTGGCAGCTGAAATGACAAATTACTTCAGCAAACGTCTAGAGCCACTGGGCATCGTTGTGAAAGAATTGACTGGGGATATGCAGTTGTCAAAAAATGAAATTTTACGAACTCAGGTATGTTGTGTACTTAGACTTTTTTAATACCATTATTTTTCAGGTAATAGTGAAAATTGTTAAACAACTATACCTAAGTAGCTATAAAACATAAACCTAATGAAATGAACTTCTTTTGTCTGTAATTACATCTTACCTCCACAAAAGAGGTTTTTGCTGGTGCACTGTCCTATTTTATCCCTTCTAACTCTATGATTCTTGCTGTATCTTGACTATTGTTAGATGTCTGGTGTAAATTTTAAGTCCATTAACACTAAATGTTTTTTTTAAACAGTAGAGAATGAGAATGTGGATAAGACCAGACTTCAGTTTCAAGAGCAGGAAAATATATAGATTCTTAAATGACCCCACTAGTATTCTAAACTATTGTATAAGGATTGCTTAACAAAAAATAAAAGTTTTTAGTCGTTCTTTATTTCATCAGATAGAAACTTACTAAATCACGCACTGTATATAGCACTATATTAGGTGAAGTGCGTGACAGCAAAGATATTGAAGATACCCTTCCTGCTTTCAAGGATCCTATACTATGACTGAATAGGCAAAAACTATATTAGAGCTACAACAAGATTATCATTAATTGATGCAACATCAACTAAGGTAATGTTCATTATGCTCTGGAAAAATCCAATAGTGGATAACCAAATATTAGTGGGATAGTTCAGCCTCAAGGATGATCTGGAGTGGGAACTAGGGAATACACTGGCCTATTAGCCTGACATCCTTGCCAGTGTCTCAGGACAAATTACCTGTCCTTACTCGTTGTTAAATATGTATTTTTTAAACATTATACCTGATATGTAATTAATACTATTAGAATTTAAAGTCAGGGGTTGGGGGATGGGGATTGGAGAAAGGTGGTCAAAAGGTATAAACTTCCAGTTATGAGATAAGTACTAGGGATACAATGTAAAACATGATGACTATAGCTAACCCTGCTACATGTTATACAGCTAAAGTTCTTAAGAGAGGATATCCTAAGAGTTCTCATCATAAGGAGAATTTTTTTTCTTTTTATTTCTTTTTCATTTTATTGGTAACTTTTTAATTGTATGACGGATGTTAACTAAACCTACCATAATAATCATTTCACAGTATATGTAGGTCAAATCATCATGCTATATACCTTAAACTCATACAGTGATATATGTTAATTATTTCTCAGTGAAACTAGAAAAAACAAACAAAAGTGGTTAGAGGAAGCAGATAGACATTTTTCCAAAGGATACATGCAGATGGACAGTAGGTATATGCAGAGATGCTCAGCATCACCAATCATCAAGGAAATGCAAATCAAAACTGAGATATCATCTCACACTTGTTAGAATGCCTACTATCAAAAAGACAAGATAAGAAATGCCAACAAGTATATGGAGAAAAGGGAACTTATGTGCACTGTTGGTTGGAATGTAAATTGGTGCAGCCCTGGAAAACAGCATGGAGGCTCTTCATAAAATTGAAGGTAGAACTACCTTATGATCCAACAATTCTGCTTCTGGGTGTATATCCAACAGAAATGAAATTAGGATCTCAAAGATCCTGTGTTCATTACAGCATTATTAAAACAGCCAAGAAAAAAATACTTTTAGACTTTAAAGATTTATTAGTGAAGATCAGACACATATTTCAGTTGTAGTAGATAAAAGGCAGTAATCAGGATTTAGCACTCATCATTTTTAATATCCTTTTTATTTTATGAAATAATAGAGGGGAGTGTATTAATGTTTAGCATCTGTCACAGTTTTTAAAAAATCTCTAATTTAACAAATGGTTTTGTGTTTCAAAAAGAGGTGGCGGAAGGAAAAAGTCAGTGGAGCTACAACATAGTTTTTATATTTAGGATCTAAAAACTTTTTCTTTGCCCTTTTACATTATACTACAATCTCAGATTTACTTATTTTGTTAACATGAATAGATTTTTAACTGCTGAAAATGGTCGACAATAAGGCACACATTATTTGAATTTTGATCACATATTTATGAGTTCAGGTAATGGCACCTTAGGAGCTTGACCTTTCTTTTCTTTCACATTTCAGCTTCAGAATTAATTTTAAAATGTATAGTGTACTTCTACGACAGTTAATTTAGGTCTTTTGTTGGGTAAATTCTAATCCTAAGATAATGTAAAAGAATTATGTGTTTTTATTATAAAAAATACATTATTTTTAAATATCTTGTCAGTGGTAATAGCTGAATAGTAAACAAACGAATAATTTTATTATTCTGTCATTGTAAGTTTTAGCTTATATTGCATAACTGTGATACAGGGTTAGGTTTTAAAGACCAGACTAATATGTGGGGTCTTCATTAATTACTCTGGCTAAAATCAATATGGTAATTTTTGACGTACGTTTTATCCCATTGCCTTGAAGGGATATGAGTCTCTTTTATTAACGATAGTGTTCTTTTCTATAGTGATTCTTTGGATCAGCATGTCCTGAACTCTATCAACGGACACTTTAAGCTTCTCTAGTTATTGCTTTCAGCCACTAGAGCTGTGCATGGTTGGGAAATTCAGTCATGTAGGAAAAGCATCAAGCTTACAGATTTTGTTCTGGGTAGTTATGTCTTTTTAGAGTAGGTTTTGTTCTGGTGTTGGCCTGCTTTTTTACATGGGACTCCTGGGTTTTCTCCCATAAAAGTATTACTAGCTTTTATTCCGGCATTTGGAAGGTTCCCATGTTATTGGGCTTTTCACACTGATTTTCAAGCTGCTCTCTCAACTCTGAATCCCACCTCTGAACTCTGATATCTGGCACCTTCAGCCAGAGAGGTGCCTCCTTTTTTTGCAGCCGTAGCAGTGGGTCTGTGATCATACTCTTGGGTCAGTAATTTGCAAACTGGTAATTCTTAATCCCTTTCAATTGATATTACATTTCTCTGTTTTTTACCACTTTCTGATTCTGCCCTGTGTCTTAAACAGTTTTTTTTAATTGTATACAGTATTTTATGATTATCTGCAGAAATTCCTGCCACTTGTTTGTTCTTCTGCCATTATTGGTAATTTCAATTTCCTAATATTTTTATTATTGAGTTTATTAGTATTTCAAACATACTAATTGTCTTCTTCTAGCAGTGAAGGTGGGAAGCATATTTTAAAAATCTAACTGTTCTTTTAAAAGTTTATCCAAGGGACACGTGGCACCACAAGGCTTAGTCGGTTGAGCATCCAACTTTGGCTCAGGTCACAATCTCTTGGTCTGTGAATTGGAGCCCTGCGTGGGGCTCTGTGCTGACAGCTCAGAGCCTGGAGCCTGCTTTGGATTCTGTGATTCTCTCTCTGACCCTCTCCCACTTATACTCTGTCTCTGTCTCTGTCTCTCCCTCTCTCTCTCTCTCTCTCTCTCTCAAAAATAAACATTAAAAAAAAACAATTTATCCAAAACCCATACATTTTTTCCTCATAACATTTTTTAGAATCTTGTTATTCCAAATGAATTTTTCTCAAAAATATATTCAACATATTATATGCAAAATGCCTTTTATTGTCATTATTTTAATCATCACATGAGTGGAGACATTCTAATAATTTCTTAAAATGCATTTTTATTTTTATTTTAAAAAATTTTTTAATGTTTATTTTTGAGAGAGAGAAAGAGAAAGAGAGAGAGAGAGAGCGCTCAAGTGGGGAAGGGGAATAGAGAGAGAGGGAGACACAGAATCTGAAACAGTCTCCCAGCTCTGAGCTGTCAGCACAGAGCCCCACACGGGGCTCGAACTCAGGAACAGCGAGATCATTAGCTAGGCTGTAGTTGGACACTTAACTGACTGAGCCACCCAGGCACCCCCTTAAAATGAGTTTTTTTTTTTTTAATTTTTTTTTCAACGTTTATTTATTTTTGGGGGGGGGGACAGAGAGAGACAGAGCATGAACAGGGGAGGGGCAGAGAGAGAGGGAGACACAGAATCGGAAACAGGCTCCAGGCTCTGAGCCATCCGCCCGGAGCCCGACGCGGGGCTCGAATTCACGGACCGCGAGATCGTGACCTGGCTGAAGTCGGACGCTTAACCGACTGCGCCACCCAGGCGCCCCATGAGGTTTTAATTAAAGGATTTTTCTGTAAATTTCTAACATTTCCTATGAAATTTGAGTGTTGAGATACCACCCCGCCTTTTCCTTGAAACATTAAAAAAAAATTTTTTTTAACTTTATTTTTGAGAGAGAGAGAGAGCATAAGCAGGGGAGGGGCAGAGAGAGAGGGAGACACAATCCGAAGCAGGTTCCAAGCTCTGCGCTGTTAGCACAGAACTCAACGCAGGGCTTGAACTCACAAGTGGTGAGATCATGACCTGAGCCGAAGTTGTATACTTAACTGACTGAGCCACCCAGGCGCCCCTCCTTGAAACATTTTAAATTTTATTTTGTTAAGGAATCTAGAGAACTGTTACCTGAAAACAGGAGTAACAATTATATTTTTACATATACAGTTGACCCTTGGACAATGTGGGGGTTTAGAGGTGCTCATCCCCCCCCACCATAGTTAAAAACCCATGTATAGTTTTGACTTTGCAGAAACTTAACTATTGTTGACCAGAAGCCTTTCCAATAACATAGTCTCTTAACACATATGTTTATATGTTATATGTATTATATACTATCTATTCTCACAATAAAGTAAGCTAGAGGAGACATAATGTTATTAAGAAAATTGTAAGGAAGAGAAAATACATTTATAGTACTATATTATATTTATCAAAAGAAATCTGCACATAAGGGGACTTGCACAGTTCAAACCCACGTCATTCAGGGGTCAACTGTAGTCACTTGAACAAATTTTGGTTCTTTTAACATAATGAACTAAATCATGCTTAAATTTTTAAGTGTGTATAATGGAAAGAAGTTGACAGATTTGTATAACACAGTGCAGACTTCAAACTTATGGACACATTTGATTCTGAAAGTATGCTCATGTATTTATAGAAGGTGTGTTACAGGGGCGCCTGGGTGGCGCAGTCGGTTAAGCGTCCGACTTCAGCCAGGTCACGATCTCGCGGTCCGT